AGCAAACAACCCATTAGTAAACCAGTTGAACTACTCCCTTTCAAACTATCATTTTTTATGGCATTTTGATTATTTAATAATAAGTTTTTAAATATGGAAAATTTTCTATAATTATAAATTTTATAGTTTCTTTAATAAAATAATAAGTTTTAAAATAATTTTTTTTTTAGTTTAATCAATAGAAAATTTTTTTGGAGAATATTTTTCCAAGGGAAAATATTTCCTTGGAAAACATTCCCAAAGGTAAGTTTGTTTCCAAAAAACGAATTTTCCACCAGCCCTTAAAAAATCTTTCTGATTTTATTTCAAATGTCTCAATGGAAATTGGACTTCTCTTAAATTTATCTATTTGTATGTGTATTTGCCTTTTTTTTGATATTGGAAGGGGTGTTCCTTCAGTGTGGTGTAGCTTTTGTCCTCTAAAGTCAACATGTAACTGAGGTGCATTTTTGCCCCACTTGTTGGTTTATTATTTGTTTTAAAGCCCCACCTTTCCACACAGTTGGAGTTTACAAGATGTTGATATGTGTGATTTTTTTGGGGCTGGATTTATTACCTTTATAATCCTTTACCAATTCCTTTTTTTGTAGTTTATTTAAATTATTACTTTTCTTGTCCTTTCAGCCGTCCTTTTTCCAACTGTTGCTATTACATTTGAAAAACATTTCTTGATTTTCGGAATGGAAAAAGATTTCCAAAAGGACTACTTGGGCTTTTGCACCAGGCAAAAATCTGTTTTTCTTACCTCAGTTTATACCTTTCAATAAATTTCACTTATTTTTTGTTGTAGATGCAGAATTTGACACAAGAAATTTTTGATTTGTTAATGTTATGATTTTTTTACTCATTTCAGGTTCATGAATAGAAGTCAAGTTATTAATTTGGTTAAATTAAAAATACAATATTTGATGTTTGGAAGTCAGTAAAAATTTTTTATATATTACAAAATGAATTAAAACTTTATTCATTGGATTTTTTTATATTAAAATAAAGTCATATTAAGATTCCTTTTGTTTGGGAATGTTTTCCCCCACCAGACCCAACAACATTTGAATTTGCTTTTTTTGGTCTCAAGTTATTTGATTAGTTTACACTTTATCCTGTTATTATTTAAAAATTAAAGGCCAAATATTTTGGATGATTCTACTATGTTTGCCAGGTATGCATTTCCTATAACAAGTGGCACAGAAAGTAAAGTCCCTTGCCTGATGAACAAATTGAGGACTATTGATTGAAGATTTTTCGGCAGAATATGATCCTTTCCAGAAGGACAAAAAAACCCCCAAAGGTCTCCCCCCTGGTTCTTCTTTTGTTCTTCTCTTCTCCCATGCTTTTTAGTTGCAAAATTTGAGATTTTCCAAACAAATAAATTTTCTTTTGAGGAGCTATAATATGAAGGATATGTGATAGCATAGGATTGATCTCTTTTTTGAGTGTCTGTAGTAGTGCTATAACTTGTCGCATAATATTAAAATATGCGTTCTGAAATAGTGTATCCATAGGGAGTGTCAACCTTGGAATCTATCCGCCGGGGCAGCATTTGTAAGGTGTATGGCTTACACTGCATAGTGCATGTGACAGATCACCACTTTGGACTGTGTCAACAGCAAGGCCCATATGCATTCAAAGCCTTCACAGCGATCCTCCGCATGCAGGGAGTCTCGGGATCCGGGATGAAAGTTGTGTGGCCGGTATTTTAAGGTTCTCAACTAGAGTTGGTATTAGAACAATCCAAACCATAGATATTAATTCCATTAAGAGGTACCGATACTTTAGAACGAGTTAATTTGGTCCAAAGACAATTGGACATTACCACCTTCAGCGTATCAATATTTTTGTACTTTGGTGTGAGATACAGCCACCACCATGTAATCTGTCTGTAAAACTAAAATTATAATTACACCCATATTGAAAAATATTAGGATGTCTCATTAAATTTTCTCTAACTGATTGTATCAGGGAATTTTCCTGTCTGAGCTTTGATGGGATTGGCTTGTGATTCTGGAACCCCAACCAGTCCAAAAGTGGGTGATGGGTTCCAATGCCATATTTGCTGTACCAATCCCCCACTTAGAAAATGCTGCCTCTTGGGATAGATTTCCAGTTTGGACGTCTTGTAATATTTTCAGAACCCCTTTTTAATTTTTTGCAGGTTTAGCTTACAACCCCATCGACTTCAAAAAAGAGGATGTCAATCCTAGCTTGCAAAATATCCTTCTATTGCCACCAAAAATTTTAAATATATAACTTTTGGAACTATAATTTCTCATATTCTAGAACATAACCCCCTGTTCCACCTCATTTGACCTGTTTTCCCCTTTGCCCATCTTAACGTTTCTTTTTTTTCTAAATCTGCGGGGGCCAAAAACCAGGGGGCTATTTATTACTGGGGACCAAGGGACTCAAAAAACCTGAATAAACTTGTCTTTCAATCGCACTTGTGACCATTGCGCAGGGAGATAGCTACGGGAAGGGGTGGGAAGAGGTATGTCCAAGGGAAAGCAGAATTGGGAATGCGGCATGGAGCCCAATTTAGCTACATGAACTTGTCATTTATATAACTCCCACGGTGTTATTCAATGTTTGAAACCACTCCCTTATCCAAGAAATATCAAAGGGTACATTTTTTTTTTTTTTACCTAGTTTTAGGCAATATTCATCCGTAATATTACTTTTTTTAAGAAAATTATATTTCGGTTAAACTTATTATAGAAAAACTCAAGTAATTTAAAATATTTTACTTCCATAAATTCAAATTTATTCTAGTTAATTAAAAATTTGTTTGATTTCTTTTAGCAAATGAAGAAGAAATTGGTTTATTTCTTATTTCAATAAGATTTCTTTTTCTGCTTGGAAAAATTGATTATTAAACCCAAAAGATATTTAGTTAAAATTATGATTTAGACTATTTAGAGAGAAAAAAGTTCATTTAAACAACATTTGGTTAAGAAAATGGCAGCCATAATATTTCAATCATGAATAACTTATTTTATAAAAAACATCCTTATATGTGGATGGAGTACGGGGACCAATTTCCAGGGGAAAACCTTGGGGAAAAACTGGTTGGGGATTGGTATTGGGCAGCCACGCCCACAATTATTGTGGGCCGAAGAATCCACCCATTTTCCGCGATTTGCAATGCCCAGGATTCGTTAAATCTCTGAAAAACATATAAAAACGGATACCATTTCCCTTAAAAAGATCATTAAAAAACATTTTCATATTTTCTTTTGTTTTTCCTCTTATATTTGCAAAATTCCATCTTAATTAGTTTACAGTGTAAAATGTAAACTCTTGAAATTTTCTTTACATAAAGGAACTTGTCAAAATTTAAAAATTGGTATTAAAAATATCCTTTAGACTTTACAAATTAAAATTTTAGGAGAAAACTCTTTGGGGAAGTTTTCGAGAGGTAAAACATTGGGTTTAGGAAGGGGCTAAAATGGGAAGGGCATGGGATTTTGGAAGCTTTGGTTAACCCTTTATACTTGACTTAAATAATTCAAAGCTTAAACCTTCTGTTTTTCATAGCAAAAGAGTTGAGTTGAATTTGGAGTTTTTAGGCTCCCAAATTTTAGTTTGGCAAATATAAAAAACAGTTTTGCGCCTCGAAAAACTCTAATTTTGGAATTTGGGAATTATATTTATAATTGAAAAAAAAATTAATCTCATTTAGAAAGCCTTTCAAACTTTAAAATTTTTGAACTCGTTTATAAGATATAGTTTCAAGCTTATTTACCAAAGCCTCCTTATATTTGGTTAATTTAAACTTCCTGGAGTCAGGCCTTTCATTTCCCAAATAGGTTTAAGCTTGGGGACAACTAAGTTGGAATTTAACTTGGATAAATCATAGAATGAATTCTATTCCGCAAAGTCTAAGCTACTTTGCGATTGCTTAATGGATTTTATGTCCTATAATTTTGAATCCATAAATCGTTTTACTTTAAAGTTTGTGCTTGTTGATTAAATTTTATTGAGTGGGCGCCAAGGTTTAAATTGCTAAGGCAAACAAATCTCATAATCCTCTATTTTCCAATTTAACATTTAGATTTATCTTCTTTTTCCTTTTTTCAGTGCTTTTCGACTTGAAAGCAATTAAGCTGTAGGGCTTTCAGGATTGCCTTTATAGCGATAGTTTTGATGCTTACTAAACATTGCTTTTGGATTTTTATGTTTTGTGGGCAAATTTAAATTAGGGGAAAGGTTAGAATTTGTTCGGGAATTAGGTTAGGGAGGGAAAGATCTTTGAAATTAGGTATGAACTTGGATTTTTAGGCTATGTTTGTAGGTATTTCTTTCGTAGGGCATCCGTTCGAATCCCTCCCTGTGTTGGGACACCTTTAGGCTTGTTTGCAACCCGGGGGACCTTTTCCATATTAAATGGATTTGGAATTTAAAGTTGTGGCAAAATGGGCTAATTCCTGAAGCTGTAAAGTAATTGAACTGTTTGGAAAAAACCATGGCCTTTCTTTTCAAATTTCATACTAAACTATTTTTGGTGCAAATTTCTTACCCAATATTCCAAAAAAGAATTTTTCCAACTTTTTCTTTGGCCAAGGGGCAATTGAAGCTTGGGTCCTAGTGATTTGGTAATTTTACTTTTCCAACCCACCCCCCACTTTATAGTTTGTTTCTAATATTTGAGTTAAGGGATCTTTAGTATTTTCCCAAATTTCTCCAAAATTTTCATGCTAGATGGGAAAAAAAGAAAAAGTTTCCTTTATTTCCTTAACTGAAAAAAATAAAAAATTTTTCCTATCCCACAATTTGGAGTACCCCTGCAAGAAGAAAAGGAAGAAAAAAGCCCAACAAAATCAAAAAAAAGCTCATTTAGTGAAATTTGTTTTTATTTAACTTTAAAAAAACCTTAACTTTTTTCTTGCTAATCTGCTTAATGAGAAAGAAGTATATTAGGAATAAAAAAGGAAATGAAAATATAACATTTGGAAATATAAAATTCATTGTTTGATTGTTTTCATATTATAAACCCACCCGGGAAAAATTTTTTGGGATTCGCGGAGTTTAACTCAATTAACATTAATCAAACAATTTTCGTAAATGTGATAATTTGATAGTGAGATGCTAAAAAGAAGAGAATTTTCTTTCCATCGCGAAAAAAACTACGGGCAAGAACTTAATAGGAGGTTAGGTTTTTGTTTTTTACGGGTTCCGGAACCGGGAACCGTCAAGTATCGAAAAATCGGTTCAGAAAATTCGTAATTCGGGAACCGCGGCCCGAAATCGGAACTGGACCGGAAAATTCCGGTTCGGGTTCCGGTTCTAAATTTTTCTGGAACCGTGAACGGCGGGTTCCCAGCCCAAAAACTCGTTCAGGTTTTTTTTTTTTTTTAAAATTTTTGTTTGTGAAAATTCCTCTTAAAATTATGGTTTTCAAGTTTTTTAAAAAAAATTTAAAATTTAATTTTGAAAGTATTTTAAAATTTTTTAGGTGTAAATCTTTTTTAATTTTTTATGTTTTCAAATATATTTTTTTTAAAACCGGTCTTCAAAATTTAAAATTTATGGTTCAAACTTTTTTTTTAAAACAAAAAAATAAATTTTCAGTTTTGAAAATTTTTTTTTTTTTAAAAAATTAATTATGTTTCAAGTCTTTTTAAAAAAAATAAATTTAATTTGGAAGTATTTTTTTTTTAATTTTTTTTAGGTTGTTAATTTCTTTAAATTTTTTATGTTCAAATATTATATATATTATTTTTTTTTAAAACCGGGTTCTTTCAAAATTTTAAAAAATTTTAAAATTATGCGATTTTCGCCGGGAAAAACCGATCCCGGAAAACCGGTCGGCGTGGGTTTGGGTTCCAACCCGTATCGGAAAATCGGGAACCGGTTCGGGCTTCTTTAAAACGCAGAATGGAAACCAGAACTTTTTCGATTCGATCTCCCCAGTTTTCAGTTTTTTTTTGGGAAACCGGAAGGAAACCCGTTTCGGGGTTTTCCGGGGAGGCCGTGGCGCCACCCCCTTAATTAATGCGGAATAAGAGATGGTATTTTTGACTTAAGATGAAAAACTTTTACCTTTAAAAACGCCCACTTAAATGCCTTTATGTTTTAAGAAAATGCTAAACATGGAACTTTAGTTCTAGAAAGCCTAGAATCCAAGTTCCAATTGGGGGCCTTAATAAAAGGGCTTGCAAATTCCCATTTCAATGGCAAGCAAAATATTGGGGTGAGGGAGAACCCCTTAAGCCCGAGGGAACTCCATATCTTTTAACAAAATTTTTACATTTTCATAATTTTACTTCTTAAGGTCCCTGAAAATTTCTTAATCAAAATTACTATTTCAAATAGTTGAAAATGTGAGGAGGGGGACTATTAGGGGAATAATAATTGTTATTAAACGTAAATTACCAAATTTTCTCAAAATAAAAAATTTTATTATATTTCTTAATTTTTATTTTTTCCTTTTTTCCAAAATTTTCTTTTTATTTTAAAAATTTATTTTAATGTTCGTTTTCTACTTTGTATTTTTTCATTAATGACTTTTTTACCCTTTAAGAATTTAATATTAATAATTAGATATTTTAAAATATATTTTTTCTTGAAAATAGTTAATTTTCTAATTACTATATTTTTTTTTGGAAAATTAAATTTTTTTTCAAAAATAAACATTTTCCTATCCCCTAATTGCTTATCCAGGAATTTCTTTCATGGTTCTCATTTCTCCATATGGGGATGGGGGATAGATTTTTTTTGAGTTTGGTCCCCATTAAATTTTGAATGCATGAGATAAGTATTTAATTTATTGAAAATTTTCATGGATTTCAATCCAAATTAGGATGTAAAATTTTGGATGACTCTTATTATAGAGAGGTAAAATTTTTTTATTTTAATTTGCGCAAAGTAAGGAAAAAAAGATTACAACCCTTATTTGGTGTAACCCTAATAAATATTCTTTTCACATAATTTGTGCTTCTTATTATTTTAAAAATTATTTCAAAAAAAAAAATAAAAAATTTTTAACTTAACTCATTTCTTAATTTAAAATTTCATTTAATGTGTGAAATAGATTTACTTTATAAATGGAAATTTTATCCTTTGGAAAAATTGGTTTGGGTGGAAAAGGTGGAAATTTTTTGGGGACTATTATTGCTGGAAAATTTAATTGAAAGTTTTATGGTTTATTAAAACCTTTTCTGGGCAAAATTAACAAAAAATTTTCTCCATTACTTTAATTAATTATTGTTTTATATGTTCCATTAATTTTTCTAAGTAGCATTTAAAATTTACGGGTTCCCTAAAAATCATTAAATTTAATTTAAAATTATAAAATAAAAATTTATTGGAATAAATTGATTATATTACTTTTAATTTTTAATCCTAATTCGCTTTAGCGAGAAAGATTAGGGTTAAGAGAAAAAAAGAAAAAAGTTTGAAAGGAGGAGGAATTTTTACGTTGAGCATTTCTCTTTGTTTTCAGGCTTCATATATAATATATATATATTAAATTAATTTGGAAATATTATAAGGATGAAACTGGCATTATTTTATAAGGAAAAATTTTACCTTTTTTCTTAGGTGTGGTTATCATATTTTATTGAAAAAATATTTTTCATAAATAATTTTTTATAATAAAATAAGGCTATACCATCAGAAAATAATATTATTTTTTAAAAAATATTTTTTTTATAAAATTATTTTTTTGAAAGAAACAGGGAAAAAACCTACTAGTAAAATTTTGAGGGTTATCCCCCCCCCCCTGATCCGATTTGTATTTTACCTTTCCAGAGTCTCCACCCATTAAAACCGTATTTACTTACGGGGCCATTGTTTTAAAAAGCTAGAAAACCGAGGGGGAGATAGGGAATTAAAAAAAAAAAAAAAAAAAAAAAAAAAAAAAGTAAAATAAGGTTGAAAAGGGGAATGTTGGGGGGCTCTGGCAACTGAAGGGCCAAAGAGGACCTTCTTTCTCGATTCAGACATATCTTCTGTTTAGGGAATCCTTAACAAAAAAACCCCACTCACAAAATTAAAAAAAAAAAAAAAAAAAAAAGTAAATAAGTGAAAAAGAATGTTGGCTCTGCAACTGAGCAAGAGACTCTCTCGATCAGACATATCTTCGTGTAGAATCCTAACAACACTCACAAATTCTTCTTTGCATTCGCTATCAGACTTGCTATCTTCGCCGAATCGTAACATCAGTCCCATCGTCACCGGCGACGGCAATCTCGATTCGTGCCCATGGTCCGCAATTCAATATCGTGGTGTGAGAGTGTCAGCCATTCATGTTTGTCCTCCCGCTTTCTTTTTTTCTAATTTATGAGAAATTTTATTTGTATTTTTTCGGATTCATGATGTGAAATTTTTCTAGTTCGTGACTAATTGGAATTATAATGCAGTTAAAACCTGGGAATGTCATTGAAAGAAAAGGTTAGTTTGGAAATCCTTGCGGAACTGTTGTTTTTCTTTTAATAATTGGCTGTTATCTCTTATTTCTTATTGCGTGACTGATAAAAATTTTTTGTTCTGCAGGCAAAATTTATGAGGTATTTTCGGTTTTTAATTATGTTGAAAATATAAATTTTAAATTTTGATTCGAAACATCGATTTTACTTTTGAATTTTAAATTTTGAATTTCTTTTTTTCTAATTGTAGTTGATATGTATAACTATTTGATAGAGTTGTGGAATTTTAGGTACTGGAAGCAGAGCATAGGCAACGGGGAAGAGGAGGAGCGGCGATGCAGGTTTAATTTCTAGAGATGCTTGGTTTAGAAAATTTTGTTCTAAATTTATAGCTACTGCCGCAATTAAAAGGATTAGCTTTTTTTTTTTTTTTTTTTTTTTTTAGCTTACTGCCGCGCAATTAAAAGGATTGCTTTTTTTTTTTTTTTTTTTTTAATTACTTTTTTTTTTTTTTTTTTTTTTTTAATTAACTAAGGTGGCGTTTGTTATTGTTGTTAAAAAACAAAAATGTTTGTTGTAAAAGTGTTTAAATTTACTTTTTAACTTTTTTTCAAAACGGTTTAAAAAACAAAAATGTCTCTCCTACAAGTCTCCCTCTCCTACAAATCTATCTCCTACATGTCACAAGTTTTTTGTATTTCAATAAAAAATTATATCCTTTTAAATATTTTATTATTGTGTTCTCTTTTTTATCTCTTATATATATGTATGAGTTGATTTTGTATATAAAAAATGTCTATACAAAAAAAGTAACTCAAAGAAAAAAAAGAACAGTTTTCAAAAATTAAAAATCAAAAATCAAAAACAATGAAAAAGAAAAAACAAAAAATGATAACTAAGTGTGTGTTATCACTTTTGCTTCTAAAATTTGATTAAATGAAGGTTTCTTGAATTTTAAATTTTTGGGAATTCTCCAATTGCAGCTAAAATAGATTGCTTAAGTTGGGATTATGGTAGAAATGCCAGTGACAGATTGATTTGCAACACTACGGATGCACAAAATTAATAGGCTTAGCTTAGGTTTGGAAGAATGATCTTCTCCCAAGGATCCTTGGTGAGGTAGAAAATGCTATTTTTGTATAATGCTGATGAACTTTTAACTGTAATTGCTGCATTACAATGAGGTTGGGAGGAATGAAAGGAAAAGGAAATGCCTAAGTTGGAAAGTTGAACACATTTGCTTGAAAATTTGATATTTCTACTGAGATAGAATATTCATGAAGAAAGACTAATCTGAATTCAATAAAATCTAGTTGCTAGTTACTGATTACTTGGTGCTTGGTTAGCATTCTGTGAATTGGATCAGGTGTTACCCTTCATATTACATCTTAAGTCATATTGGCAACGCAACAACAATGCAACAACTCCAGTATGATAAAACAGTGTCTTTTTTTTTTCTCTATTGACTAAGAATGGATTGCTTATATTTGGATTTTTTTTTTTTTTTTTTTTTTTTTATTGCTAAGAATGGATTCTTATATTTGGAATTTTTTGGTTTTTTTTTTTTTTTTTGTGCGGTTCTTTTTGAACGGTTGACCTAATCGTTGAAGAAATGTCTCTTATTTTTTTTTTTTTTTTTTTTTTTTTTTTTGTGGGTTCTTTTGAACGGTTGACCTAATCGTTGAAGAAAATGTCTTATTTATGTGCCTTCCTTTTGCTTTGCCTTTTGCCTTAGCTGGAGCTTCGCAACATAGACAATGGAAATAAAGAAAGCCTACGGTTTGGTACGGAGGATGCTGTTGAAAGTATATTCCCTAACTTTTAATTCTTATCCCCTTCCATTCAAAATAAATCCGAATTGTTGTTCCACGACTTTTTTTTTTTTTGGGCTTTGTATATGTTTTTGTGTCGAAGTTTCTGAATTCATGTTAAACTTTTTATCTGGCTAGATACGGTATGGTGGCTATATAAAAGTGGTTTCATATAAGGAGTCTACATTTTTTAGCTTACATTATTCTGACCTGGATGTTGGATGAAAAACTTAAGTCATGAGGACTCTGTTCCCCATGTTCTCTGAACATGGCAGAGGATTATGTGGACCTGAGCTATGATAAGGACATCTGGTTGTCTTCTTGTCCTTCTATTGTTGCACAATTTTTCTGGTTGCACTTTTAATTAAATACTCCTTCCGTCCCTTTTTATTTGCTTGTTATTCTTTTTTTGGATGTCCCAAAATGTTTGCAAGGTTTATAAATTTAGATATGTAAACAATTATTTTTCCCATAATAACCTTTATAATTGTTCATTGAACGAAGGGCTTTTAGTATCTTAATGAGTTATTAAGGGTAAAGAAGGGCAAAATAACTTTTGTTGACTAAATTCTTAATATGCGTGTGTTGTCAAACCATGCAACCAAAATGAAACAGAGGGAGTATATGTTTTGATAAGTTATCAATTAAAAACAACAGAGATGAAGAAACGGAGGGTGACACCAAACTGTGGTACAGTTATGTGTTTCTGGCCTTTCTGAGGTTTGAAGTTATGATTTTTTTTATGGAATTGATCTTTATTTTTTGGCTGGTATCATATTTTTTCCAATTGTCAGTATTTGTCAAATGTGTTGGACCCTAGCCATCTCAGTCATCATTTGGTTCCAGATGTTTGTGTTGTAGGTTATCCTATTGATGGATAGTAGATAGTCTAAACAAACTGTCCTTGGATACTCCTCAAAAATTTGTTAAATTGAACTTCGTTCATATAGCATTGAGGTTTCTCCTTTTATTTGGATGCATATGAATATTGTATATTGTTGAATATGTCAGTTTCGGAGGGAATTATGGTTGGTTGGCCTGAACTGGAAGTAGAATCAATCCTTCTTAGCTGATCCTAGTGAAGTATGGGACAACAATGGACATCACATGCTCTCTCCTCCACCCAGTCCAGAATGGAATTAAATAGAATGTAGGAAAACCGAGTCAAGACAATTCTTATACCTCTGTTATTAACATTTTTTAAAATCGGCAAATGGAAGCTGAATCCTGATGGAAATGTTTTGGGTTGTTGGAGCCTAGGTTATTGCCCTTTTGGCATCCTTAGAAATGAAACATTATTTTTATATATGGATTAACCAATGTTGTGGTAAATTTCAGTTGTTTGATCCTTGCTACAACAAATACAAAGTATTTGGATCTATGTGAATTGATTGTTTAAAAATTCTATATTTTTCTTATTAATTATTGTAATATCAAACTAATATTAATTCCATATAATTCCTGCAGAGGTATTTGTTGAGGAAAGGTCTTTCACGTGTTTATATGTAGAACGTGGAACAGCATATCTTATGGAGTGAGTTCAGTTGCTCATTTTGTAGGAAAGACTCTCTCTTTTACTGACTGTTTTAGTCAAATAGCTATTGTAAATTTTCTGAACGTTATATCTGTTTATAATGCTCATCAGCCCTGAAAAGTTTGAGCAACTTGAAGTACCCATGGCATTGTTTGGCGACGCTGCTGCATTTCTAAAAGGTTGGTTAGATTTATTAATGGATTTATTTTTGCTGCCTTTTCAGCTTCTTTGCAGTATCTGTCACATGTTTGTCCCTTGTGATGTTTCCATGACATTTCTCTAGTGCCTATTTCACAGATTTATGAGAGTTTGTGCTTGTAACTTTGTTGTTTTTTTTTTTAAAAGAAAAAAAATTTGATTAAGAAAGGGTAAAATGTGAAGTAAATGTGAACTAAGATAAGCTTTCCCTCTCAAAAAGACAAAAATTACAAAAGTAGGAGCAGAACATCTATTGATACAAAAGGGCTCTCCTATTATGCTGAATAATTGCTATAGAAACATCTTTAACATCCAATGATGTAAAGCGTTATTGTGAAGCCAAAAAAACCATCTTATCTGGGCAACAGTAATCTTCGGAAGTCCATATATGTCATTTAGCCAAACACCCCAGAAAATTATTAGCATTGCTGATCTTTAAATAACTTTTTCCTCCATTTTTCTCCCTTGTTTGAACTCTAATTTTAATTCAATAACTAACCTCTTACGCAAGTATGCAGGAAAACCTATGGTTCATAGAGTATAATATTTGACCTTTGTGCTTGCAACAGACTCTCTTAATACTTTTATCATGGACCAGACAAAAGCTTCAACCTTGGGGGCAACAAGAAAAATCTGAAAAAGATTTGGCATGAAAAATTCTCTGAAGTCATTTCTGATTTGTAAATAATTGTTGCTCCTGCAGCAAACAGTTTCCATTTAATTATTTATTCCATCTTAAGCTTCATCAATTGTCATAAATGGCGTATATATGCTTAAAGACTGAAGTGTAAATTTCATGGTCAACAGAGGACATGGCAGTTAAATTGCAGTTATATGATGAAAGACCTTTGTCTGGATCAATTCCGAAACAAGTTACATGCATTATAAAAGAGACACAGCCCCCAATGAGGGGGCTTACTGCTACACCCCGGTACAATTCATTAATTTTTTAAATGCTTTTTTCTATGTTTACTGCACTTTATCTGTCTATTCTGTTTCTTTTTACCCTTTTAGTGCAAAGTAAGCATTGTGCATCCCGAATCTATTGATTTTTGTTACTACAGTTTTTAGTAGTTCACATGTCATGTTAAACCTTATTTTACTATTTGAAGTGAAAATGCATAAAAGGGAGCAGTAAGTTATCTGAGGAAAGTTAAGATGATGGGAAACCACGGGTTTATGATTTATTTCGAAAATATCATCAGAGATATCCTTAATGTGAAGTTATGTCCTTCATATGGAACACGAGATAAATATCCTTGGCAAGGGATATCAGAGAGTATCTATAACTAAGATGGTTGGAAAGATATTCTGAATCACTACATCAAATTATTAATGATACATTTGATTATCATAAAAACAAAGTAAGATTAACATTAAAGTTCTGAATTTATATATGCGTGCTAATAATGATAATATAGATTGTGTTTGGCAACAACTTTTTAAATAGCTTTCGCTAAACGTTATTTTTTATAGTGATTAGTAACATAGCCTTTGAACTAGTTTTTAGAGGTTAAAATAGTGTTTTATAAGAAGTTAACTTATGTAATGTTTAGCTTTTAAAAGCTATTTTTTATAGTGTTTGATAACATAGCATTTGAATTAGCTTTTAAAGGTTAAGGTAGTATCTTATAAAAAGTTAACTCATATAAAGTTTAGATTTTAAAAGCTATTTTTTTATAATGTTCGATAACAAGTTTTTGAACTAACTTTTAGAGTTTAAGGTAATGTCTTATAAAAAGTTACTTCATGTAATCTTTAACTTTTAAAAGCTTTTTTTTTTTTTTTTTTTTTTTTTTCACGATAAAGTTAATAGATATTTTTAATGGCTATATTTAATTATATAAATAGTTCACAATAAAAAAATAAAAAAAAAAAAAAAAAAAAGTATTTATAAATTACTAAAAAAAATAGAATAATAACCAAGATAATATTAAAAAATTAGAAAAAAAACTTACATATAAAATTAGAATAAATAAAGAAAAGTTATAAAATATTAGAGAGAAATTTAAAAAAAATAAGAGATAATTATTCACTAGTAACTCAATAAAATTATTAATATATTTACTTCATTTTTGTACATCTTTAACTTTATAAGTAAGCTTTTTTTTTTTATTTCTTTTTTTTTTCTTCTTCTTTTATTCTATATTGTGTTTCGTAAGCATAAGCGTTTGAGATAGATTTTACGAGTAAAGTTAGGTGTTCGGTTATAAAAAGCTTAACTTCACCTGTAACCTTTAAGCTTTTAAAAGCTTTATTTTTTTTTATATCGAAATAAGTAGTTCAGTCAAGAGGCTGGTTAAGCATAGTGTTTTTTTTTTTTTTTTTTTTTTTTTTTTTATAGTGTTCGGTAACATAGCGTTTGAATTAGATTTTAGAGGTTAAGTTAGTGTCTTATAAAAAGTTAACTCACTTAACCTTTAGCTTTTAAAAGCTTTTTTTTTTTTTATAGTGTTCGGTAGCATAGTGTTTGAATTAGCTTTTAAAGGTTAAGGTAGCGTTTTATAAAAAATTAACTAATATAATGTTTAGCTTTTAGCGTTTCATGAAAAGTTAGTCGAATAACTAACGGTTAAATGCTATTAAAACAGCTAACAGCTAATTTTACTGAAGAGACCCATAAACTCTATATGAATAATAAATTTCAAATTACATTTTGCACTAAAACATCTATCTTCTCAATCAGTTTATTTTTTTAGTTTATTCCCAAACCAAATAAAATCTCCTCCTGGATTGTAGGTTTTTAATTAAGATATTATTAGTATTAGTTCTATTCTTTTCTTATCATTGTTAAATTTAGTGTATTCAGTTTTTCTATGGCATTGATGGGGGTGTAAATATTACAGATTTACAGTTTTCAATAATAATAACATCATATGCAGATTTTGTTAATCACAGTCTCACACAGTTTGTTTTAACCTACCTTGTGGTAATATTATTGCAATATATATCACTAGCAAGTAGTGATATTAATGTCTGGAATTTTTTCGAAAAATTCCTGCAATATGTTTAATTACCAATCGAGATGTTTCACATGCTGAATTATTTTCTTGCCTTTTGTACTAGGTATAAAAGGGCTCTGCTGGACAATAATCTCACTGTTCAAGTAAGTTAGAAACCCTATTGCCTATTGTCTTTTGGCCACTGTTATTGCACAGTCGAAAATTTGAAATGGTTGACTTGTGACAACCACCTCTTCAATGAGTTATCCTAAACCTTTTATTGGTTGCTTGAATTTTATCTGAGTCCTTACATGCACATGTTTTCTGAAATATATAGGTACCCCCTTTTCTAGATGTTGGTGAAGAAATAATTATCAACACTATCGATAATTCATATGTTAGCAGGTGAATGTTAGTGTATTATTTTTTAAAAGCGATCTGTTCTTTATATCACTTTTTTTCGGCATCTCGTGTGTTAATAACATTATCCTTTGAGATATTGCTTCAAAAAAGAAAAAATTGCTTATAAGAATAATTTCTTCCTCTCAGGGCCAACAAATAATGGTGTATTGCTGCTGCTTCACTCTTCATGGAAGGTGAGATTTGCAAAATTGCAGGGAGGCAATGGGACTAGTAGACATCTAATTTTCTATTTTGGTAGTGGATAGAAGAAGTGGATGGTAATCTTGAATAGCTTAATTAGTGTCTAGTCCCTTTATTATTGTGAAAATCAGTGTTAATGTCAATTTTGACCTTTAGGTATGATCTCTATTTTAAAAAATTTAAAGGTGCATGACAAGGAGAAAGAAGACAATAAAAATTCAATTTTGTTTTATTATTTATATAATTTTGAATATATTCTTTTTTTGAGAGATTTCAAAGTATTTGTTGTGGTACCATTATGATTAAGAAATTTAATGACAATTGTTGCTGCATTTTATTTTTCTAATTTCCTAGTTAGTTTTGTAGTGTTGCAATTTGAACATACTGTAGTTTATGAAATCTATTGTATGATTAATTTACTAAGAACAAGTAATTTTGTTAGTTGTTTTTCTTAAATAATTGATTTTATTTAAAATTATTTATATCATTTATAATTTTTTTACCTACGGTTCATTTTCAATTCCTACTTAATCCAATCCATTTATGATTTATGGGTTCACATGTTGGATGATTTGAGTTGGGTTAAAAAAATTATTGATCCGTTGACACTGGTTAGACACTTTGGTTAAACCATGAGAAAAACCTTGACTTTTCAATTTGTGTTACGTTTGCGCAACCGAAATTCAACTTTGTTCGAATGTGTATATAAATATATATAGATGGCGCAAGTAACTCGAATCAAGTTAAGTGAAACACTTATCCTTAACCCACTTATAAAGAAACGCACCGTTTAGAATTTCCCCTTCCTCGTCGATCTGTCAATCATTCTCGCTCACCCTCTCTCCCTCTCTTATTCAAAACCAATCAAGTCAAAGAAACCACAATAACACCGCTTCACAAAAAATCACCATAGAAAAAGAAAATAGAAGCCTGGTATGTTAGAATCCGCTGCGAATAGAAGATGACGAATTTTGATTCTTTCGAGAGAATTTTGGAGATTAAGTAGAATTTAAGGAAATTGCAAGGATTACGCCTCCATGGATGCGTAGGAAGTAGGGATAGAAGTTGGGTGGGTACCTGTTAAATTTTCACTATCCACACTTGAATCCGCTAATAAATTTCGATACTCATTTCATTCCAAATCCGTTTAAAATCCTTTTTGTGATATCCATATTTACACATGTTTAAAATTTTAACATCCTTTCTACACCCATTTAACTAATATGCAATCCATTTGAAATGGATTGAGATGAGTAAGATACTATGAAAGTTCACTCTGTTTATATAGCAGTACATCACTTTATAGTTGATGTTGTCGAGCCTAGAAAGACGGACATGAAAATAAACAGTAGGACTAGAAAATGAAAAGTATTAGTAAAGATAATTCTAAAATTCTAGTCGTGTACTATTTTTAAGTAGTTAATTTTTTTTTTTTGTGTTTGATGATATTAGGATTTTTAATTTATAAAAATTTTAGGAGAATATTGTGTTCAATATGCACTTAAATTTTCCCTTAAATTTATTATATTAAATATTTTTAAATTATATAATGGATTTTGGTGGGTAGCAAATACTCACAGCTTTAAACCCACACTCAACCTAAACCCTTAGTAGGTAGTTAATTTGATACACATACATGTTCTAAACCCATTTAATTAATACCCAAACTTACTATAAATGGATTCTTGTGGGTTGGGTACCCACGAAATCTCACCCCTCTTCCATCCCTATTAAGACTGTGTTCAACGGTATCTAGGATGAATTGATCGAACACTATTTCTATATATTATTATGTTCGACAACCTGATATATAGAGTAACTTTTAGAGGATGAAAAAACATTTTATAAAATATTATTCTATCTAACGTTTAGCATTTTAAGTCTTTTTGCTGAAATTTTTTTACACACTAATTTAAAGTCCTTCTTTATCACATTATGTCTTTTTATTATTTTTTATGCTTGGCTTGTTTATAATTGATAGTAAAAGAAAAAAAAGGTTTATTTTATATATTTGCATTTGAACTCAAGAAATATTAAAAATTAAAAATATTGATCTAAAAATTTCCAATTTTATTTATATAATAGTGAATTTTTCTACTTTTGCTCTTTTAAATTTTGAAAATTTAGGTTTAGTGAAATTTTTTTTTAGAATGAGTTTAATTATAATGTATAGTAAAAATTCCTAAGGGGATATTGCAATGTACTTTTTGTTATTTTAAATTTAATTGTCAATCAAACTGTTATTTTTACTAAACACTTTGCTTTTAACTGCTACTTAAATAGCTAATAATTAATAGTTATCATTCAACAGCTAACAATTACTAAAACAATTATAAAATAACTAGAGCTGCTAAAACAACTAAATTTTCAAAACAGACCCTGATAAGAAACCTTGAACTGCGCAGAAGAGACCTTGAACAACTATCTTTTCAAAGATTTTTGTTTTTATATTTTCTGGAAAATTTTGGGAAAAGTAAGGTTTTATAGGAATTATTAGTTCAGACATTAAAGTTTTATAGAAATTATTAATTCAAACAGGCATTTAGTATTCGATAACAATTTTTAAATTAACTTTTAGCGTGTTGATCAAGTTAAAATTTTATTTCTATTATTGTACCATTTGGTAACATAGTTTTTAAAATAATTTTTAATTTTTAGAGTTTGAAAAAGCTTTTTATAAATGCTAAATATTTAAGAAAAAATAATTATTTCGTCCCTGAGATTTACCATAATTATTTAAATAGTCCACAATATTTATACAAATATTTATAACATCCCTGAACTTTACTTCCGTTTTATTAATTGATTCTTCCGTCCAAAAAACACACTTTTTCCATTAATTTTGAGAGGAAAAGACGAAATTATCCTTTATAAGTTTTCATTATTTCATCCCTAAAGTTTGCCATAATTATTTTAGTCCTTGACATTTATGTTATTATTTATAATATCCTTGAGGTTCACTTCCGTCGTATTATTTGATCCTTCCATCCAAAAAACACATTTTTCTGTTAATTTTTAATAGAATGACCAAACTACCCTAAATCCTCTAATTAACATATCCTCCTTTTCAACTCATTTGCTTTCCTTCGTACTCTGCTCACAAAAATGCACATGATAAGGCAACAACTACCATAGTCAGAAATTAGGCGGAGTACAAGAAAACGGTTCTGAAACAATAATATAGGCTACATAATAACTGCAAATATCACAAATAGGGCAAAAAAATTGTAGTCGTTTTCCTTACACGGCTACAAGATATACTGATGGAATTGAATACCGTTGCAACCCCTATCAACTGTAAGTGAAAAAACAAATTTCAGTTCCACTTGTTTATACAACAATATCAAATCAACTTAATCCAGTCACAATGAAAACAACTTGAAGCTTTTTTTTCTTTCTTTTTTAACCTTTTAAGCCAGTTGTAACTATGCTACGCCTTCCTAAAACATAGGTCTTACAAGAAGTTTTGTCATCACTCATAAATACAAAAGATCAAAAGAACAACTTTACCTTTACTTCCTAACAAGCATTTCATGAAATCGACTTTGCCTCATCGACTGCTCTTGTCATCCTTATCCTTTCCATTCCTGTCCTCTTTATTATTCCTGTCATCCTTGGTATTTGTTTGAGGAGTGTATTGGCTGGTTGATGACGGTGAGTAACCAGGTGCACTTGGCGAGTACCCAGCACTAGGAATGTACAGAACAGAAAAGAATGTGAAATAACTGTTATCATATTGATCAAATTAGACCAATGTATTGTTTAGGGAATTTCGGCATATACCTATATTGTGGAGAACTTGGGCTGTAATCTGGTGCTCCAGAATTATATGGGCTGAAGAAAAACAAAAGCAAGCATGATAAGAATGCACAATGCCTAAAGCTTAACGTAGGAATGTCAAACCAGTAAAACAATATTAGAAGTAGCAGTGGACAAGATGGTGGCACGATAAGACTCACCTGCTAGGACTATACGTTGGACTCGAAGGGGAATATGATGGAGACGTGGGGGAATATGATGGCGACGTCGAACTGCAGCACAACATTTAAAAATTAATAATAAATAAGCAGTAAGAGAGAGTAGATTATCATCATAAATATTAAAGGGCAGAGACGGGGTTTTGGAGGAACTAGAATAAAATAACAAGTATGAAACAAACTATCTGGTAAAAGGTTAGCCTACCTGTAATTTGGAGATGTAGGGCTGTAAGGACTGGATGGTGATAACCTTGGACTGCTTGGTGAATATGCCATTGAATATTTAGCTGACTGAGGGTTGTAGCTTGGTGATGTAGGGCTGTAGCTAGGGGAGGTGGGGCTGTACCCAGGGGATGTGGGGCTATATGCAGGTGAAGTTGGGCTATATGATGGAGATGTGGGACTATAAGATGGAGAAGTTGGACTGTAAGAAGGTGATGTTGGGCTATAGGAAGGTGATGTTGGGCTATAAGAAGGAGAAGTCAGGCTGTATGACGGTGAGGTGGGACTGTAAGCAGGAGAAGTGGGACTATATGCTGGTGACGTGGGACTATAAGCTGGAGAAGTAGGGCTGTAACTGGGAGACGTTGGGCTGTAGCTGGGAGACGTTGGGCTATAGCTGGGAGACGTTGGGCTGTAACTTGGGGAAGTTGGGGAATACGATGGACTTGTAGGAGAATAGGCCGGACTGGTTGGACTGTAGCCAGGAGAACTGGGGCTGTAGGTTGGTGAGGTTGGGCTATATCCGGGAGAGGTGGGGCTGTAACCAGGTGAGGTAGGACTATATCCAGGAGATGTGGGACTATAGCCAGGGGATGCTGGACTGTAGCCTGGAGATGATGGGCTGTAGCCAGGAGACGACGTAGGAGAGAAAGCCATTCCACCAACATATGGTGAGAACTGAGCATCTGTAATGGGTGAGAGGCGAAGATTTGGGCTCAGCAAGTAACTCGGAGACATCATTCCCTCATGGTAAGGAGTTCCTGATACTGGAGAACGAGCTGGAGTCATGCCAAAGTCCAGGCCATCCATGTAACTAGGGAGCTGAAGTTCTATAGCATTCTTCAACATTTCAGCATTAAGATATAATGAACAGCCTCCTGTTCCAATTGGTGCAAGCTGACCGAGCATTATATTTTCAGTGACACCCTTCAAGTAATCTGATTCGGCATACACAGCAGCATCAAGAAGAATGTCCACAGTCTCTTCAAACGAGCACCTCATCAATGGCCCGGTGTCATTCCGATTGATACCATGGCGGGTGATCGACATCAAATGGCCGCGATAGGTCATGGTATCACACAATATAGCTAGATGTCGGTAATTCACATAGGATCCATCGAAAGATATAACAGCCCTCAACTCATCTAGCAAGGAGCGGCGAACTGCCTCAATACCAAGAACTTCAATAACTTCAATCAAATGATTGCTCGTAGTCCTCCTTGCATCAACATTTTCATTACACATAACAGCCAGGAGATTGACACCCTCTGTATCAAGCATCCATTCCTCTGCTGTCTTAAATCCATCCTTCTCATCAAACTTGCTTACTTTACCATTTTTAATAAAGACCTTGTTTATATCTGGGATACCTCGAAGAGCCATTTCTGTCAGCATGTTACTCTCAATCTTCTTCAGGAAAACATCATCCTCAGCAGACTCATCATCCAACTCGCCCTTCGGAGCCTCATCATTCATGATACGTATCCGGAGGATCAGTTTTTCAGCATTGTCATCATTAAATATACATGTCAAATCATCATCGAATTCAAGATTGATCTTCTCAGCAATGTCAGCCATGTTAAGCTTCTTATCAACCATCATTTCACGGTTCAACTCTACACGTAGCAACCAAGGAGAGATTTTTTCTGGTGCAACCTCTTCATCTGGCATTTCATAATATGACTTCACAAATTCAGCATCCTCTTCAATTATGGTACTCATGGGATCTGGATCATACCATACTTCTGTAGCTTGAGTAACACTCCTGAGAGTCGTGTACTCCAGAGCACATTGAACACTCTTAGCCTTCTCCTTTGTGCCATTACATTCTGGTTTTAGGTAGACAGAAAGAGAGGGTGTTTTGATCTTTTTAGCTATATTAATAATTTCCTTCAGTCTGGGAACACCAAGAGTAACATTCTTTGCACTAACACCAGCATAGTGGAAAGTATTGAGGGTCATTTGAGTGGCAGGCTCTCCAATGGACTGTGCAGCAACACAACCTATCATTTCCCCAGGTGCCACCAACGACTGCAAGAACCGTGATTCTATCTCACCAATAACCCAATCAAACGCTTCACGAGTAAGCCTGTATTCCTCCAACACCCTTTTACTGGCAAGAGTGCTACGAAGCAAAATTCCAAAGAAAAGAGTGGCATTCTTTTGGGCTTCGACACTCAATGGATCATCCCCAGGAACAACTTTTAATCTCTCCTGTAGCTTATCAACAGCTTCTACAGCTTCCATTGGATGAATGTCTGAGGGCCTTCTCGTATCAACCTTGAAAGTCTTCTGTGCATTCCAAATAAGCCTCATGAGGTTAACAGGCAATGGCCAAGAATTATCACCTGTGGTTGCAATCTCTGTTCCTAGTTGGTATCTATCTGCTTCAAGTTTTTGAACTTCGGCATCAAACACATCGCGCAATTCTCGAATATTTTTCAAATCCTCAATGTGATCCGGCATCATGTAAGAAGGGTTCCAATTTTTATCATCGATTTCATATCTGAAGACCCTATCAAATTCTGATTTCTTCATTTTTAAAGAATCCAGCTTCTGTGATTCTATCCAGACAGCATCCATACCGTCTTCCCCATAGAGAAACTGAATAACATCTCCCAGTGAATTCCTAACAGTGCCATCATATTTAACCATAATATCCTCCATGGCCTTCACTAGTCGCCTCTGAATATACCCAGTCTCAGAAGTCTTCACTGCTGTATCTATAAGACCTTCCCTACCACCCATAGCATGAAAAAAGAACTCCTGGGGGGTCAACCCACGCAGATATGAGTTCTCCACAAACCCACGACTTTCTGGCCCATAATCATCCTTGGTAAAGTGAGGCAATGTCCGATCTATAAAACCATATGGGATACGCTTACCCTCAACATTTTGCTGCCCCACACAAGCAGTCATCTGCGATATGTTAATGAAACTCCCTTTTGAGCCTGCAGTAACCATGGCCTTGAGGTTGTTACTCTCAGACAAACTCTTCTGGGCACTGCTTCCAGCATCATCACGAGCTTTATTCAATGTCTACAAGACGGCAAATGTGTTAGGAAGCAACAAAAGTAGCCAGACAAAGAAGAATGAGTAAGGATGATTTCCTAAGCACCTGATTCACTTTGTTTTCAAATGATTCCATCATAGTCCTTCCAGGTTCAGCTTCTAGTTCCTTGTTTTGAGCCTTCCTAATATGATCCTTCACTTCATTTTTTGCTTTTGAAATAGTTTCATTGATTTTCTCCATTGTAGCTGCATCAGCAATTGTATCTCCAATACCCATGCTAAAACCATTTTGCAAAAGCCAATAATTCACAAGCCACTGAGTATGGCCCAAAAATTTGCGAGCTGCATCTGGACCAACCTCTTCCCTGCACACAAAAAAGACATTACATTAAACACCATACATCGATACCAGGTTAAGTTCCATTAGATTGGATTCAAACTCCACCCAGTAATGAAGCATATGACTTGATGGCAGAAAACTAAGAATTCTTAAGACAAAAATTCGCAGATCTCTGTAACAATGCACCTGAAAACTAAAAAAGAATCTGCAAAAAATTAAATTTCCCAATGCCTGAAAATACATAAATGCATACCAAATGACATGAATAAGACTTCCAGAAGAGCTCCCAAGAGTTTTCTTGCAAAGAGTTCCAGATAGTAGCTCCCCTTTTTCTATTCGAACTAGAGTATCCCCTGGAGTAATAATTCCTCTATCTGTATCCGTGTGCCAGGCAGCAGTTCTAATAAGATTTATCTGCTTTGGAATAATAAGATTAAAAACTTGCTTTCCTGTCCAAAGAGGCCGTGGCTTCAGAATTGCAGGAGCAGGAACTTTTCCATCAAAATCCTCCCACCACATCAATATATTCATAAAGACATCCTGCAAGATAAGAAACAAAAGTCATCATTATGTCCATCAAGACAATAGAATACAGCTAAAACGGCCAAGAAAACCAAATCATACTCTCCAACTATCACCTTCTCTATAAAAGTGTCCCTCTTGGTGATCTTACGGCATCCTAAAAGTGTATCCTGGACAATTCCCATAACTGGCCGGTTTGATTGAGGTGACACGATGCACTTAGGTACCATCATTAGCTCCAATACCTCTGCTCTAGTTTCAAATGATTGGGGAACATGCATGTTCATTTCATCACCATCAAAATCAGCATTATATGGTGAAGTGACAGACAAGTTCAAACGGAAAGTAGAGTATGGCATAATCTTGATTCTGTGTCCCATAATTGACATTTTATGTAGACTAGGTTGTCGATTGAAGAGCACAAAGTCACCATCATTCAAATGCCTCTCCACCTGAAACCGCATTTCAAGAATTCAGAAAAAACAATAGACAAGATGTAATTGAGGTGAAAGAAAAAAGTTAAAATATGTCAGACTATGCCTTGTAACCAAGCTCCAAATGATGATCACTGCTTTTCTTCAAATAACGAAGATCAAGTCTTTGGCCATCATCCCTTATGATATATTTTGCACCAGTTTTACCAACTCTTGAACCGCATTCAAGTTAATTCTATTATATATATTTCTTATTATAATTCTGCAACAAGTAACCCATGAGGTGAAATTAAAAAAAAGGTTTAAAATATGGTCAACATTGCATGTTTTTGGTAAACCGGCTCAAGAATGCATGATTCTTTCCAAAACTTTTTTTTCTGTCAGAGATTAACGAAGATCAGTTGCTGATTGACCATCATCTTCTATTGTAGGATATTATTTCTATGTTACCAGTGGATGGATGCGGCCTCCATTACTCAACAAGCTCATTCACTTTATTTTATAATTTGGTTTCCATTGCTTAATGAAAGATAGAAAAGAAGTATGTATGATCTAATTAAAAAAAGTGAAAATGCTTTTGTAGTTGTAGTTATGTGACCTCCTTCTCAAGTTATTGTATCAGTTTCTCGATAAGATAAGGTTAATAGTACGAAGCCGGCCTCTTATTCACTATTCCAAGGCACTCCTAGTTTTTGTCAATATCTTCCTTTTGATATTGGATCTTGTGGTGTATCTACGGCCCTAAAATAATACTACGCTCTCAGGTTACCCCTAATTCGGCCTGTCCTTGGCCTTAGCCTGACTACAAAATGATTATATAGGTTCTCTCCAGATCTTTGTGTAGCCTAGCAGTTAAGGCAGATCATATAGTATCTATGTTGTCTTATCTGTCGTGCTGAGTTTGTGTTATACTATTACAATCATAGTTAGTTATACAGTTAAAACTCCACTTAGTATATGGTATAGTCCAAGTTATCAGTTACTCTGTTCTCTGGTGTCTATTTTCATTGTGCAAAATAGTGGGCTAATCGTTGTATTACTGCGAACAACTTGTTTGCAAAACTCTGGTTATAGTATGGTGCGTGCCCCCACCCTCTCTTCGTGTTTTCTTGTGTCTATATATCTTATCCATATATGTCCTAAAATCATCCTGGATTCAGCAATATATAAACTCAGATGATTTTAGACAGGTTAAAATTGCTTAACTTTCGTTATGAAAGGCTCAAATGCAACAATCAGTCATTTATCCGAATAGCTATGATTGTAATAAAGTATTTAGAAATAAGGTGTGCCGTTGTGTTTGATGAGTGTGAGATGCTCTAATAGATAGATAAAAGATAAATGGGAGGTTGCCTCGCTCCTAGAGGATGTATCGCTAGGTCATCACGGAGGCCTCTGGAGGTGGGGGGTGAAGAACGTTGTGAATCATTCCACTGGACGTGCTACTTTGGTTAAATCCAGCATTTGGCAGTCCCTCATCACTTATCCTTTCAAAACACTAAGAACTGCCAGTACCAATAGAAGAAATTAGATCCTGTATGATTTGGACATAAGACTAAAGGATTTCTAAGTTTGGCTGAGATTACCCTTTCGGCTGTAACCTGTCTGCTTTCTTTCCCACTGGTTCAGGAAGGCTGTTCCTGGTCGATCATTTTTCTTTCCTTTGAGACTATGTAACTCGCAATCATCTTCATACCTTCAATAGGAAAGTTTTTGCTGCTGAGCACCACGTTTTGGCTGCTGAGCACCACATCCACCTCGACTCTTTTTCACTGGCTCTTCAGTATCTTGACCTTGAACATCAATATCATCACCACCTTCACATTTAGTCTTATTTTTGCAGGCATCAAGAATCCTTTTCAGCCTGTTTTTGGGATTCCTTATTTTCAAAGCTTGCTTAAACTTGTGATCTTCCTGTATGAAGGAAATAAATAAATAAATAAATATATGGAAAAGCTCCCAATATCATGATAATCAAGAATGCAAAACTAGTAGATTGTCCTATTAACTGGTGATAAACGTAACAATTTACATACTGATGTAAACTCCTACAGGCCAATTTGTTCATGGCATTTCATTTATTACAGCAAGAATAAGTTCTAAACATAACTTAGTACCAGATTGGCTCCTCATATTATGTAAGGAACCGAAACTTTCTTCGTGACATGCTTACACAACTAAACTACAAGCAATAAAGCTAATAGTAATTCTATTCAAAAGAAGTACCTCATCAGCCAAAATCTTGGAACAGTTGAAACATACGCATCGCATGATGCTCAATACAGTTTTCATGAAACCAATATGAAACATTGGCTTCGCCAACTCCAGGTGACCAAAATGACCTGGGCATTCAGCCATATTTGCATTACAAGTCTCACATTTCATCTTCCTGTCAATCGTACCCAGTCTCGGATCACTCAAGCCACCTGGCTTAGGCTTGCCCCTCTCTGTCGTTTCACTGTACTCAACTTGCACCACAGACATTTGCCTCTGCGCCACCTGGCTTAGGCTTGCCCCTCTCTGTCGTTTCACTGTACTCAACTTGCACCACAGACATTTGCCTCTGCCACCGAAGAACAACATAAATCAAAAATCAAGAACACTAACTCCATAGCAAGTCCCAACTCCAACGCATACACACCACCAAAAGAACAAGGATAGAACAGTAACAATAGCAAAGGAACTAGAAGTCTCATTCTATAATCTTTAAGCGGCTGAAAGAGCAAGAAACTAAAAGAAACGGTGGAAATATGAGAATTTACAATCTCATCGGGGCTAAGTATCCCGAACTGGACCATACGGACTATGGCAACTTCCGCCGGCGAATAAGGAAACCTTGTATCCATTGCGAGCTTACTATACACCACCCTAACCCTAGATTCTTCAAAGAAAATGAGAACTGAAATTCAAAGTTGATTCAAACTGATTCTGTAAAAATGGTTACGTTTAAAATTTTGAACTTTTTTGCTATTATTTTGAATTATGTTCGTTTAAGCAAGTATGGAGGGAGATTGGCTGTGAAGGAGCCAAAACACTCTCCGAGAAATTCTCTCAATCGAGAACTCTCTAAACAAGGTAAACAATGACCCAAAAAGGGTATTTATAGACAAATTAGCCCTAGGTAGTGGCGGTCAAAGTCGGTCTCTTTCGGGTTTGACGGGGGTTGCAGACCGCGTTGAGCGAACTTAGAAGGGTCAAGAAACGGATCCGACCCGAATTTATATTAATCTGACTAGAGTCGGTGGGTTTTACAACTTGAACCCAATTTCCTCTTTACAGGCGAATAAACATTCTAACGGCGATTCGCGCCTTTTCTAGATGTTTTGAGGCTGTTAAAAATGAAATGATTGCTTTGTCAACTGAAATCGAGCGCCAAAAACAGGTTGTGACTGCTTATCTGTTAGTTCACTTTCTTGATTGTATAGATTTCTTTTATTGCTATAGTTTCTATCTTTTGCTTTTATTTCACTGTTTTTTTTTTCTAAAAATTATTTTATCATTTTATTTTCAATTTTTAAATTTAAATTTAAAAAGAAAATGGTTTTTGGACAAAACTGTTTTTGACAATTGTTGTCAAAGAGTTGTATCTGTTTTGGACACGTCAGCCTCAACTTTTTTTTTCACTCCTATTTGATTTTTATCTCAATTTGAACTTTGATCCTTTTATTGCAATAGCACCCTGAATATAGTTAGGAGTTAAATTGCAAATAAAAATAGTTACTAGGAAGTTCGCTTCTAACTATAAACTTGATTCACATAATAAATTTATTTAAACGAGGAAACTTGGGTTAAAAGTAAAGAAAATTATTATTATTATTTTTCTAATATTTTTAAATTATTTATTTGATTGCTAATAAGTAATAAAATATAATAGCACATGTAATCTATAGTGTTTCAGATTAATATTAAAACATTTAGGAGTATTTTGTTCATGATAATTATATTATAATTTTTGGTTATTTTGCATTACTTTATAGGTATGCTTTTTATAATAACAGCAGCATTATTAACTTCTGCAACAAACTAACAACATTAAAAATAATTATAAAAATGAAAAAATAATTGAAAATTTTCAGTTTAAATCAATATAACTTGACTTAAAATTACCCATCCAATTTAAAGTATTACTGTACTTTGAGGTTTAGTAAAATAAATTGCTTATAATATACTATCATAGACAAAATATTAATAAAATTTATGTATAAAAAAATTAAATTATAACAATACGTGCAACATAGGTCTTAAGAAATAAAAAATTAATTTTCTTAAGGATCTGTTCGACAAAATTAATTATTTTTTAGCTGCTAATTGTTTTAGTAGCGTTTAGTTTTTAGTTGTTTGAGTAGTTTTTCATAAAATGCTAGAAATTAAATGTTATATGAATTAATTTTTTATAAAACGATATATTAATCTCTAAAATCTAGTTTAAACACTATATTATCGAACACTATAAAAAATAGCATTTAGTGTGTTTGACTCGAAGACAACCTAAAATCATGTTTGAATTCGGTTCTGAATGTGAAATGGTGCCGGACATTAATTCTTTTATAGCTTTGTCCATTTGTGGGAGGCTAAATCTTAAAAAATATCTTCAATTTAACCACTTATTATAAAATCATTCTATTTTAACTTTTGTAATTGGGACACGCCATTTATAGATTTAGATATATTACCATCTTATTTTAAAATTAAGAGTTAGGGTTTAAAATAAAATAATATAAATGTGGGACTCATATGAGAACCTCTGGTTAACTTAATCCAAAGCCAAAACTCCCCGTTTAGCCAACAATTCTGCCAGTTTCTCTCTCCCAAATTCCATCTCTCTCCAGCATCCTCCGTTGTAGAATGATCTAGCAGATCTTAAATCATTTTTCCGCTAATTTTTTTTTTGTCTCTGAAATTTCCAAGCACAATAACATCAACAGCAATTACAATAGCCAAACCTAATTAAACCCAGCACTAAATAGTAAAATCCACCATTTATTTAGCCGAGGTTGCTTCTCATGGATGAACACACTACAAAATCAAAACAAAGGAGGAGGTTTTATTGCAAGACAAGAATATAAAAATAATATGATGAATGTACTGTAGGAGCTAGAGAAGTAGATTCTAGATAATAACAAGAGAAAGACGATGCAATTTCAACGAAGGACGCCGGAGGAGATGACGATGGAAGTTAGAAAAGAGAAAGCAGCAGGGTTGTTTGCTTAATCAAAACGGGGAGTTTTGATGGTTGGGTTAAGTTAACCAAGGTTATATTATGGGTCCTACATCTATATTATTTTATTTTAAACTCTAATTCTAATTTTAAAATATGGTACTAATATATTTAAGTTTGTAAATCAGGTGACACAGAAGCAAAATTATTAGAAAAAAAGAATTCCACGAGAGTGTGGTTTGTCATTTAAAAATTTTCTCTCTTATCTATTTTCTATTTTTATGCCACATTAATAGAAAATAGGTAATTTTTGGATGGAAGGACTTCGAAGTTGAACGATAGCATAATTTAGGTCTTTCAAAATAATTTTTTAAATGTTAAGAGATCTAAATGTAATTTTACTATAATTTAGGAATCCGAAAATATTTAACTCTATAATTTGTTATGAAAAATGAGATAGCTTTTTTTGGATAATTATCAATAGTTTATCTTTCTAGAATTTTAGAAAATTCTTCATAATATTTTTGTTATCCATAATGTAACATAATGCTATGTGATATGAAGCATTTCTAACGTTAAACTATATTTTAGTATGATTCATCAAATATAGTCTAAAGTATATTTAACAAAATTAGTTATTTCTATAATTATTAGTTGTCTTTGTAGCTATGCTAAACAGTACTACCTATAGCTAAGCATTAGTATTAACTCAAATCGCTGCCGAAAACTATAAATAATAAAAATAGGGTGAAGCTCGTCCTTTATTTCACATAAAATTATCACCAAAATGATTAAGTTTGCATTATAAGTTCAATTTTTATTGAATTTTGGATAGTAAAATCTTACTAATTTTATGATGTAATATTTGAAAATCTTACTAATTATGTACAAATTTTTTTAATATAATATTGTATAAGATTCAAATTATTTTATATATTTCTTTTACTAATAAAATTCAAGAAAATAAAATTTGATAATTTGTTTGTTTAAATTTCATATATTTTGAAATTGGATGGATGTTCAATTTAAAATAAAATGAAAAGAAAATAAAAAACACTATTACTCTTATTATCATTATTAGTTTATATGTTAATTTCCATTCTCAGCAAAGTTTCGGTTTACTCAATTCAGTTTCCACAAATTTCAGTTCAAACAAATAAAATAAAAAACTGGTAGATATTCGTCGCCGGCGACACCACATCTCCCATCGCAAATAGAACCTTTTGAAATTTCAAAGAAGCTGATGCTCTGTCTTCTACGACACGCTTTTGAAATTTCAAAGAAGTTGATGCTCTGTCTTCTTCGCTTCGGCGATACCGTCAAAACCCATATATAACCTCTTACCCTTCTCAATTCCCAATATCAAATCTATAACAATGGCTTCCATCTATACCTGCATCGAATGCGGTACCAATCTCAACCTGAGCACCGCTTGTCTCTACCCACCAGACTTCTACTTCGAGGCTGGGAACAAAGGGACACTCTCTTTCTCCTCGATCGACTCTACAAAATTCAAGTTCGAAAAGGAAGATAAGATCAGACCTTTCTTTGAAACGCTTAATTACTGGGGAATTCAAAGAAAAAGAACCAAGATTATTTGTAATAGCTGCGGTAGACTTGTGGGTTATGTCTACGATGATGGGCCTCCTCTTACAAACAGTACTGGTCAGTTTCATATGGGTCCTAGCCAGGTCATCCCTCGGGCACCCAGGTTTCGGTTCAAAACCAAAGCTCTTAGGATCACGTCAGAGACTTGAGTCGAGAATGGGTTCTGGGTTTAATGGGTATTGTATATTTGATGAGCTCAATAGCTGTATAACTTCTGTTTTATGTTTTAGTTTTGTATGAATATGTTTGTGATAGAAAAAAGAATAAATTCAAAGATCGTTTTTTTAAGACGTTATACTTTTTCCTTTGGTTAATTTGATTGTTGTGCTTGATTATTGGTTATTTTTTATGTATATGTCCGATGATTCTTTGATTGGTTTGTTTCTTCAATCTAAGATCTAAAGAAACAAATCAAACTTAGAAGAATTATTGTGGTTAATTTTGATTAAGCAGCCGAACTACCTTTACGGATGGAGCTAATATGGGGGATATTTGGATTTATGAATCTGCCTGAACTTCCTTCAACCTCCTTCGCGAATGCACTTGATATTTTCATGAATCATAACTGGGATTAAACTTGAATTTTTAGACATGAAAGATTGGTATCCTAAGCGTTTTTGCCTTATGCTTCAGGACGGCTTGAAATTTGAAAGCTACATGACTAGAGAAGCCTATGGTTGGTGCAGTGAAGTTGGCCCATATTACCACCTTATATCTAAGCCGGAAGAAGAAGAAGAAGAGAACATGTAGTCTTGTTCATTGCTTTATGAGTCTCATTTACTCATTTATTCTTTCGGGGGTGAAATTAATTGTCCCAGTTGCTGTAATTTAGTTTAGTAGCTCTTGCATTGTCAAGATGAATTTTTTTGGTTTCTTATCTAGTTTTGCTTAGGATGTTTATGCGGAGGTCATCAGCAAAATTAGAACACTGGAAATGCTTTTAATGGAACAGGTTGATAGTTTTCTGTGTTCTGCTGCCACAAGAGCTTGCTCTATGGTTCATGAAATACAAACTAGTTCTTTGAGGGAGTAAAAGAAATAGAAATCTGAAGGTCTGCGCTTTCTGTATCTGTAGAATATGCAGTTGTTGATAGAATATGCAGTTGTTGATCTGCATAATACCATTAATCGATGTTTGTACCTTCTGTTGAAATTAAATTTTGGAGGCTACCATTATGATGATTGAAGTATTTTTGGCATGTCTGCAGTGTTCTTCTGATGTTTTATGCAGTATTTGGAGAGTAAAAATTAATTCAGCGTCTGCATCGACTTTCAGCTTTGGGGTTTCACCCTGCCCGTGGATGCTACTTGGTTCTATTCATGAGAGTAAACCTGCCTAAACCTGCCCAGAAATGGATATTCAAATATTCTTAGCAACTATTGATTTCTAGGAAAATCTCCTGCTTAGTCTTTATTAATTGACAATTCACTGGAGTTCAGGGGTTATCCATATACTTGTTATCAGTTTGTCAGTTTCTGCAATTTTTATATTATACCTACCAGTCAATTTTTATTTTCCTTGGGCAAGTGGATTTTATTTTTTTTGAGGTAAGTCAAGTTTTATTTGCGTGAGGCCAGTCAATTCTTCATCTGCCTCAAGTTGTTTATAAGAGCCTTTGTATATCAATGCACACACATAAACAACTAACCTTCCTATATGATGAGGCAGATTTTGCAGGTGATAAGACCAACAAGCTAATCCACCAGTCAGTTGAAAGTTAGGTTGGATTAGCGGCTCTGGAGGGTTAGCCATGGTGTTTGCGCTTCATGGCTTTGATTGATGTCTCTCTTTTTTTAATCTCATACTGCTGGTAGTAAGACAAGTGGAGATTGAATTAGCCAAAAGATGAAGCAAACAAAACTCGAAAAAGAAAATTGCAGCACAAATACCAAAAAATCAATTCCGCCACCTCCACCTCCACCTCCCCCTCTGCCACTTCCAAGATACTGGGTCCGCAAAAGTGCCGCTGAAAGTGTGACTAATCGAGAGATTGCTAAGTTCTGGAGGCAAAAGCGTTTCGAGGAAGAGGATCACCTTCTTGCTGCTATCAAGGCAGCAGCACGTGCCAGAGCTCGCAATCTTACGGTAAGATCTCAGAGTCACATTTGAATCTTGTGATTAATCACTCAACGAACAAACATATAAACTCTACTCTTTGTTGTTTTGAGCCTGATGTTAAATTGGGTATTAAGTAAATGGTTTTGGCCCTATAAGAGGAGGTATGCCTGAGCCTTTAGGCAGCCTTCTAATTCATGCTGGTAGCATCTATGACCACCATATGTTTGACAGTGTTTCAACCACCAATCTGTAGGGAAGCAATTTAAGGAGAAAATGATCTCATAACTTGTAATGCCTTTTTTCAGTAATATTTTCAGAATTTTGAAATTTGAATGTCTAATTAAGGTCTAAGGCAAGGCATTTCTGTGGCTTGTTATGTGGAATTTTAGAGATCAACAATATGAGGAGGCTGCTAAACCTCAAAGGATTTATTATTAAGTGAATATTTGCCACATGAAATGAATCTTAATTTTAGGATGACGGAACCATTTAATCCAGTTCATATAATGTCTTTTTCGGGCATCACTCTGTCCTTTGTCCTTCCCCCCGATTTTTTCCCTAGTATTAGTATTATTTGGGGAAGTAAGATTTTGAACCACATTTTCTTCTCTAGGACTTGGTTTCTCTTTTAATACATGGTTAGCTCATATATTATAATGGTGACATGACATCAGAACTTCCTTGACTAAACTTGATTGGCTGGAATTTTTTATTTTGTAGGAAGATGACTACAAACAATTTGAAGAGTCATTGAAGGATAACAATGGCACCAATGATGGTAAGGAGGAGAATACCACTGTTTCCTTCAATACTACAAAAGATGATCTGAACAAGGAAGTGCGAGTTGGCATAAAAGACTGGTTAGTTGACTTTCTACAGTTACTTATTGTTTTGGATAAGCTTTAGCAATCATAGACTTGGCTGAATGAAATTGAATAATCTTTTTTAAACTCTTTGAGTTTTTTTAAAAAAAAAAAATTATAAACAAAGAATTATGTTTAATAAAATGAATCACAAAGAAAACTTTATTATATAATCATTACTAGATTAATTAATTGAATTTTCTGAACTTTGGTTTACTGGTTAAATGAACTGAAATGATTTGATTCACTTTCCTACAAACTATTATTTCAGTTCAGTTTGCTGTTTCCGCGTCTCATAAACTTTTCCTGCAAAGAAATGTTTGGAAACTCTTCAAAAACATTTTGGGGTCATTTTCGTAAATTGGATAATTTGGAAACACGTTTTCCATTTCAGAAATACATTTTCGTAAATTGAAAACTCTGGAAAATTCATTTCTCCAGTTAAAATAAATACATAAAAGAATACGAATTCAAAAACATGTATCTTTTTCGAGTATGGAACTTGCAAACAAATTTTTTTTTTCCTTTTAGATATGACTAAATGTTAATTGGATTTGACTTATTGTTGAATATATTTAATAGTTTATAATAATTTATTTTTTTATATTTATAAATATAACATTATATTTTTCATATTTATGCGTGTCCCCACGTTTTCTGTATTTTTAAAAATACCATTTTTCCGTATCCGTTTCTGCATTTCCACACTTCCACATTTCCGTTTCCGTTTAACAATAGCATAGTTTCGGTTTTCAGTTTGATGGTTTCAGGACTGAATCTACCAATGATACATACCTATGAAAATTTGATGTTAATTTTTATTCCCCCCCTCTGATCGAGATCTTTTAATTATCATCATGTGCAGGTGGACCAAGAGCAAGTATGCTTATCTAAATCAGCCAGCCATTGAATCAATGGATCCTCAAAAGAGAAGAAGTTCTAATTACATTCCAAATTGTTTCTCATTTAAGCCCACTCCTCTATATCCTACTTCTCTTGGAGTCTTCTAGCTTCAATTCATTTATACAGAAAAAGTTGGTTTATATACATGATGATCTCTTTTCTGGGAGATTTATGGCTTCTACGTTTTAAATAAGTGTGCTTCTACATGTTATTTATTTATGAAGTCTTTCCTTGTTTTTCTTAGAACTTCCAGAAAAAAAAACAAGGAAAGAGAGATTCTTTGTAATATCTAAAACATGCATATATAAATATGGATTGTTTTTTTTTTTTTTCCTGTTTATCCATTTTTGTCTTCTGAAGGTTGGAGTGCAAGAAATGAAGTGGAAGGTTCTAGGAACTCATCCAAACATAATAAGGGGCATAGAAGGAAGTCTCTAAGGAAAGAAGGCTTTGTATTCTAATTTGCCTAACTTTTGTTTTAAAAGTCAACAACTGCTATTTTGTTTTTATTGGTAGAAGATATACAAATTGAGGAAAAATAAATAGCAAATAGAATAAATCATATTTAAAATTCCATTAATAATTTAATAATTATTTTCTAATATAAAAAGGTAAATATGCGAATTTGGACATTTTTTTAATTAATACAAATTTTAAATCTTTTTATCTCTCTCTTTTTTTTTTAAAAAAAAAACATTATAGTAATTAAATATTCACTTGCAAAGTAGGTGAAGCATGGCCTTTTCTTTATTTTCATTTATTCATTTTGTTATGCTTTACTCCAAAATTCAATACAAGAAATATATATATATATATAGTTACGAGATTATCAATTTATATCTATTGAGTTTGAGAAATAAAAGATTGGTTTAATCTATATGTAGGACAAAACATAATTGAGTCTTAAGTTATATTTAAATTAAAACTTGAAATTCCTCTGTATTAATAATTATAATGTCCTTATTCATTATCGGATCATTTCGTTCAAAAAGTGAACATATTTTGTTCAAAAATTGTATTTAATTAGCAATAAAGAACTCATTTTATAGACAAAATGTGTAACATCCCTTCTCGGTCCACCCGTAAATCCGAATAAACCGAGACGAGACGCTACAAACTGGTTGACTGTATGTCCTGTCATGCTGACATCATTGACTGTATGTCCTGTCATGCTGACATCCATCCCTGTAATGAAAACAAATCTAATATCATGCTGAGATTGCTTATAGTAATAATGTACTGAATATTTACAAGACATGATACTAGTTACAAAATGGATTGGGCCCAACTGTGTGCCTCGTACATGCCATAAAAGAATAACAAAATGAGTTTCTACCCTGAAGACCGAGTCTTCTACAGATGAATGGCAGCAGTTGTAAACGGACCCTCTACGAACTAGTCTCAAAACCTGCGATTTAAACAGGTAACTAGCTGAGCAAATAAAGCTCAGTGGATATCTCAACATAAAACAACAATAAGCACACATATAAGCAAAAAGCATTATGTAAGCACAACAAGGCACGTATAAGCACACATATCATGATAATCTTCATTATCTTAATGATTTTATGCAAATGTTATGTAGATATCCTGTATGGCTCCATAAAGGTTATAGCGAAACCGAGGTGATAAGAAAACTGTATAAAACTGGATGAATACTGTAACTGGCTGCTATGGCCCCCATATAACCATATTCCACTCAAACGGCCCTGTGCCGGAAGTAACAAACTCCACTCAACGGCCTGTAGCCGGAGTAACAAACTGTATGAGGCGCAGATCTGCTATCCTATGTCGCGACATGGTCTTATCTACATGGTTTCTACCTAACCCCCATGGAGCATAATGTTGGTATGTCACAAGTATAACACAACATCATAGTAATAGTTCATCACTTCATAAATCATCATGTTCATATGATTTCACATCATTTGCATGCTTGCCTGTTGTTTTAATCCATATTCTAATGTTGTCTTTTTGTTTTACAATGATTGGATGCATACAAGTTGAGCAAGGAATCCATTTACATAGGAAAAGAAAGTCCAAAAATGCAGGAAAAGCCAAGTCGCGAGCGCGCCTGTGGAAGTCGCGAGCGCCGCGAGGCGCGAGATGCAGAGAGACAGTGTGTTCTCAGGCACAAGTCGCGATCGCGTACTTGAAAGTCGCGAGCGCGTAGTGTGCCAAATGAGAGACAGTGAGTTTTCATGCCAACTACGCGAGTGCGCAATGTAAGTCGCGAGCGCTTCCAGGCCAAGGGCCAACTTCGTGAGCGCGCACTTGAGAGTCGCGAGCGCGTAATGTGCCAATTGAGAGTCAGAGAGTTTGAAGTGGAAGTCACGTGCGCGCAGTGCAAAGTCGCGAGCACGCGACGTGCTTCCAGCCTACGTAGTGCCAGGTCGCGACGCGTTTCCAGCCTGCGCAGTCTGCAGCCTGCGCAGTCTGCACTCTTTTGGTCATATCTCTCAATATACAAATCCAATTTGGGTGATTCAAAAACCCATGCTTTACTTTGTCGACACCACCGAACCCTTTTTGGAGTATCTCCTAGCTTCTTTTGACGTCTTAGCAGGGGTGACTATCTCGAACGCGGTTTCGTCGAGACCTTGATATATTGTGAACAAGGCCTTCTTCTCCCTCTTTCTTAGCTCCTTCAACTCCTCCTTTTCTTCTTTCTTCATTTGTGCTTCCGCCGTCGCGTCGGGTTCGGTGAATCCAGACTCCACGAGATCCCACACATCAAGTGATCCCAGTAGAGCCTTCATTTGTATACACCAAATATCATGATTGCTGTAACATCCCTTCTCCTATACACATCAAAATTCTTACAACTTATCTACAATATCACTCAAGTAGAGACTGAATAACAATAAGCTGCAAGTAACTCTACTTACTTGGAGAGAATTGAGGTTGCCTAAAGAAAAATAAAGGAAATGAAGGAGATGAAGTAGATGAAGATAAAGATGAACGATGGGAAAGTGACTGGAATGATTACGGGTAAGTCATCACAAAATCAAGATAAATGATGGAAACTTATTAAATGAGACCTCAATTGTGAAAAGGCTACAACTTAATACCCAAGCTTAATCTTTGAATGCAAAACCATCCTCTCCCTTATACTTTAATCTTTTTCTCTCAATCAAATAAGTCCACTTCTAACCCCTTTCTACCCCAACCGGGTTTGGTTCAACTCAACTCAACTCGACTCGACTCGACTCTATGCAAAGACTCGACTCAGTAGGATGTCACAAATAAACCTTCGGTCCGAAGTTACCGTTTGTGACACCTGCGGAACTGTTCAGATTCCCAAGTTGCTTCTTCTGTCTTGTGATTCCTCCAAAGAACTTTAACCAATGCTATCTTCTTGTTCCGCAATTCTTTAACTTCTCTGGCTAGGATTTGAACAGGTTCTTCTTCATAAGTGAGATCCGGCTGAATTTCAATCTCTTCTGCTGATAACACATGTGACGGGTCTGATCTGTATCTCCTTAACATGGATACGTGAAAGACATTATGAATTCGATCTAGGGTGGAAGGTAATGCTAGGCGATAGGCTAATGGTCCTACACGTTCAATAATCTCGTATGGACCAATGAACCTAGGGCTAAGCTTACCCTTTCGTCCAAAGCTTGCCCTTTGTCCAACCCTTAGGATCTCTTCCATGGTGAAACTTTCAGAAATACTTTATCACCGACCGAGATTACTCATATACTTTCTCTTAAAATCAGGCATAAGACTTTGTCGATCACTGGCTTCTTCAGCGCGTTTTCTGATGATCTTCCACTTTCTCTTCCCGTTTTCTCTAAACTCAAATCTGGACCCAAAATCTTCTTCTCAACTAAGTTCTGTCCAACACACAGGTGTCCCTGCATTGTCTACCATACAATGCTTCATATGGTGCCATTTTTTACTGCTCGATTGATAGCTGTGTTGTAGCAAAATTCCCATGAGAAGGTACATATCTGTTCCCAACTGCCTTCAAATTCTATGACACATGCTCCTCATCAGGTCCTGCCAGGATCTGAATGACTCTCTCTGATTGGCCATCTGTTTTGAGGATGAAATCAGTGCTGAAATGCAATTTCGTTTCCTAATGCTTCCTGCAAGTTTACCCAAAACTTCGATTAATCTGTCCAGCAATCACCCATCTCATCAGCTTCCGCTTGCGTCTGAGTAATCCAGTAACAAAATCCAATCGTGATTAATCCCAACTTCCATGTTGGCACGTTATGGATGAAGCAACCCAGATGGCAGTGATGTTCTGCTTTTAACTTGTTGACATGTTTAAACATCTTGTTACAACATTTCCCGATATCTTTCTTCATGCCCGGCACCAAATTAGCCTTTCTTCATATCTTTGTATTACATCTTGGTACTACCGGGATGCATTGTATAATATGAACTGTTATGGAGCTTCAGCAAAAATCTTTTGTCTAAGCTCCCCTAATCTGTGGTACAGACAACTCTGTCTTCATAAAATAACGAGAAACTCCACTGTTATCCAGATCTGAATTTCCAACAATGATCTTCCTGTACTGTTCACATAGTGCTGTTTGTGCAGTCTTTCTTCTGTGCTTCTGCAACTACCTGAACCCAAGATGGCTGTAATTTGCATCTGTGGCTAGAAATCCTCCCTACTGTTGCAACATCCCATGCGAATTCTCAAATGCTTCAAAAGCAAACAATGATTTCCGGCTAAAGGCATCAAGCTACCACATTAGCTTTGGCCCGGATGGTAATTAATGACATAATCATAATTAGCCAGAATCTGGCATCCACTGCCGTTGTCTTGAATTCAAATCTTTCTGTTGTTGGTAAAATACTTTAAACTTGATGATCTGTGTAAATGTGACACTTTTCACCATATCAGAAAATGTCGCCAAATAACTTTGAATGCTAGAACAATAGCTGCCAGTTCTAAATCATCCGGGTTGGATAATTCAATTCATGTGGCTTTAACTGTCTGAGACATAAGCTACAAGCTACCACCTTCCTGTCTTGCATAAGTACACATCCTAACCCAATATGAGAAGCATAACTGTAAATCTCAAAGTCTTTACCTGACACTGGCTGGGTCAACACTGGTGCTTCTGTCAACTTTTTCTTCAAAGTGTCAAAACTCTGCTGACCTCTATCATCCCATTGGAATATAACTGCTTTCTTCAATAATTTTGTTAAAGGTGATGAAATGATAGAGAATCCCTTTACGAACCTTCTGTAATAACTGGCTAAACTCAGAAAACTGCGAACTTCTGTAACATTTCTGGGTGGTCTCCAATTAACAATAGCTTCAATCTTCTTAGGATCCACTCTGATACCCTCCGATGATATCAGA